TTTTTTTTTACAGAAAGGAATCCACAAAAAATGCACTTTAGTATGAGCAAATCTGTTTACTACGTCTTGGGAGGGTCCTAGAAAAACGAATAAACAAAGTAATTTCAAACGGCAATCGCGTTTAGAAGGTTGTAAAGAGTAGTAACGTACCTACTACATGAAGATTGACGTACAACTTGATAGCCGTAGTCTCGGGCGTAAGAGTAGACCGCATATCTTCAGTGGCTGCCAACTGTTTAGTAAATGCGAAGCTGTAATCGGTAGTACAAGTCTAACCAAATTTTCGTTCAGGATAGATTCAACTATGAAATGGGGAATCGTGTTAGACTATTTGGTTCTCTTTTGCTACCAATCGCAAAATCACCATTTTTCCTCATTCAAACTAAGGAGCTGAGATGAGCGAAGGAGCTTCCCCAATAGGAGCGACTCAAAATCAGGAATTCCTTCACAGATTTTGAGCAGTATTTGGCTTATTACATCAGCAAGGAGCGGATCGCGTTCCACAATGCCCTGAAATTATATTTCTCAATAAGGAAATAAAGGCATAGGTACTGAATGAGGATGCCACACCATGTAGGATTCGATCGTGACCATATATGCGTAGAAAACTGCACCGCCACGAGGTAGTTGCAATGTCTTGTCGCCGTAACTATATAGATATAAAGGCCTGATAATCAAGTAAAAGAAGTTTAGTGGAGCAACAATTAGATTAGCGTATAACTCAAAACTAGGGCTTTACAGCGCATCTAGAGTGTCTCCATATTTGAAGGGTGGGCCGCGTCGCCCCGCTAAGCGCAAGGGCGGCCGATGCTTAAAGTATGGAGACACTCTACCTGCGACACAGTGCGTTGCGGCAAAGATCCATAACAGCTGAGATTTTGGTGTGATTTCGGCAGATTTTGATGGTCATTAATGGCACATCTGCGTCCCACATAATGAAGAGCTTTCATATTGTGATTGTGTACCTTCCAAGAAGACAAGACTGTATGTTTAAAGCATAGGTTTGATACTCCAGAAACAAGACAACAAAAGTGATAGTAATTTCAAATCAGGAGCTTTGCAAAAAGGAAGGTGGTTTTTGACATACTATGGTGGCTGAGAAGAAGAAATAAGCAAATCTTCGCGGTTCAAAACAACGCAGCGGAAACAGTCTTTTATTCAAACACTAATCAATGGAAAATGTAGCAAATATGACATACTTGCTCCACTCATTTTCTTCGTTTCCCTTCCTTCTCGTGCCTGTACCTCCAGCAAATTGGGGAAGTATATTCGCCTTTTTACATAAAAAGCTCTTGTGAATAGTATTCATGATTTGTTTGAAACCATTCTTGAATCCTAGATGGGTCATTTGAATTTTGGACTTTCGCGCGTTAATCGCGCATATTTTTCCCTCCGCGATCAACCAAGGGCGGGAAAAGGGGGAAATGTGGAGAAAAAGAGATCTATAGAATTACGAGAGTAGTCACATGAGATGCATGGTAGTGATCTCGAACGGTAACATCAAGCATTGAGAATGAGACTGAAAGTAGAGTCATTCCTCCTGTATTTAAATTAAAAAAACGACTTCGAAAGAAAAGTCATTTTCGCATGTTTCGTGGATTTATCCCTTAAATTCATGATTCCCGTAAGTTGCGCGTTCGAGCGCAATACTGCTCAAAGGTCTCGAACAAGATGATTTTAAGGTTGAGATAGTCCAGCCGCAATAAATCTTCAGAAAGTCATATAAAGGAAAACGGGTTTTTTGGTGCGTCCTATGAGATAATTCGCTGGATATTCAAAACTGAAAGTTGCGTAGTTGTCAACTGTGTTGTGGATAAGTTCTTGTCGAATGACTGGAACAACGGACTCAAAAACTTCAACTTGACTTAGAAATCGAGAAAAACAAAAACACGGTTTTTCTCATTTCATTCACTCAGGCCAAGAAATTGAATGCTGCGCAATTGTCTATTCAAATTTATTTTTTAAAGCCTTCATAATGATATACGATTTGCTTACATTAAATTGCAAAAAAAGGAGAAAAGGCCACCAGAGCCAAATGCCCCTGGAAGAAGCTTAGTTGCGTAGAGGGTGTGCAATTTTGAGAGGTGGCAGAGAACGACCAGAGCCGACGGGGCTTTTGGTTCTGGTGGCTTGCTTATCTCGGCTTATACTCAACGAATCTCCCGACATCCATATATCTTTCTGCTCAGAATCGTATGGAGAATCCAGCTGACAACTGCGCAACTTTCATAAGTTCCATCGTAACGATTTACTCTCTATATTCTCTTGTTTTTCCTATTCAAGGCTATTTGACGTATATGCTTCTAAAATTTGATTCTTAATCATGATCCTTACAATTGGTGGCCTTTTTAACTTTAGCTTCTACCTTCAAAACTACATTATTTCCTTTCTCGTGTAACTCCTCATCATTGTCCCCACAGTTCTTATGTACTACGACACCTAATCTTATTTCGTTAACAACAAAGTGAAAATTCCCTCTCTCTATTGTTCTTATAGTTCTCGATCTATGAACTTCTAGTGTGTAGAATAGTCGATGTCCGGGGCTCCGCCCCGGACCTTGACTTATGCAAACTCTCTTAGGTGAGGGTTCTACTTCTTCGCTCATTATTGAAAGTCCAGAACCGTGGCTCTGTATCTAATTTATGTTCCAGAGTCGTAATGAGACAGAACGACCAAAGTTTGAACCTGCAAAAGGGAAATTTGCAAATGGGTTTAGGAAATTTTGTCTACAACTCCAACAAACTTCAAAAGTAGTCGTACTGTCCATATACTATCATCTAGCTACTCTTTTCAATTTGCTTTGAAAACAAAATCAAAAAATGACTTTCTGCTGTATTGTAGCATGAAAACATACTAACAGAGGAAAAAGCAGGCCACTCGGTTGCCCCCCTAGCGGTCGCCTATCAGAGCGTTTGTTATTACGAGCCTTCCGTGATCTACCGCCTAATCGTGGCGCGGTGTAACCAAGCTGGGAGGGTTTCGATAATTCCAGCTTTCCAAATGCCCGGTAAGAGTAAACAATACCAGACGCGCCACCATCTGGCTGCAGTCGCTAGACGATT